CACACAGTTTGTTGAGATGACGGAAAAGGAAGTACGTCGTCTGCAAGTGAACAATTTAAAGATTGAAACAGTCCTTGCACAGCCTCTCCCATCCGGAGGTCAGCTGAATAGTCCTTCTCACGTGGTCTGTCTCCTCTTAGGGGTGGGATGCGGCGCGGTCTGGTGCTTAGAACATAGAGACACATCTGTTTGTCGTCAGTAATGTTACCTGGTCGGAGACCTGAGTTGTGTATGGAAACCGGCAGCTGCGCACACACATAGCAGTTCACAGCATGTCCCTCATAAGCGGTTCTGTTCATCAGTTTCCACCACAGATTGGTACTGTAGTCATGCGGGTGGAATTCAGGCTCGCTTCCTCCTCCAAACATCAAGCATACAGCAGTCACAGCGCAGTAGAAGATCCATCTGGCATATGGAGTCCCCATTGTTGCTCGGCGTACAGAGATGTCAGAACCCCCAAACTAAAGGAGTGAGAATCTTAGCGTTTCTTCACCGGGTTTGAGACGAACTACAACTATAAAGTAGCTCCCCTTTGTACCCCGGAAGCTCTCAAAAGAGCTCTCCTTCCTCTCTACTCCGACTTTAGGGATCCAACACTCTCTGCAGCTTACAGTGACTGAGATGTATCCAGCTGGGTCTTTCAGCAATCTTTACAGCTGTTGGTGTGGTCATCAGCACTTGGAACGGTCCTTCCCACCGTGGACTCGCCCAGTTCTTTCGTTTGATGACCTTTATGTAGACCCAGTCACCAGGCTCTATTGGAACAGCCTCCTGTGCAGGAAGAGAATCAAAAGGCAGTAACTTTGCTCTGGACACTTCCTTCAGTTTAAGAGTCCTGATCATATAATCTGCTAATGTCTGTTCTTCGTCAGCTTTTTGTATGTCTGGAGCAAACAGAGGCAATCTGTAAGCTCTCCCATGAATTATTTCAAAAGGTGTTAGACCATCAGCTGTCGGGGTGATCCTCATATATAGCTTCACTACATCTAAGCATTCTGGCCAGGGCCGGCCAGTGTCTGCCATGCATTTTCTTAATCTACTTTTCACAGTACCATTTGTTCTTTCCACCAACCCTGCACTCTGTGGATGATAGGAACAGTGGTTTTTCAATGTCATTCCCAAGTGTGTAGCCATGTTTTGTATCACTTGGTTTACAAAATGTGGTCCATTGTCACTATAAACAGTCTGTGGGATGCCATGTGTTGGGATAATAGTTTTACAAATAGCCTTAGCTACTGTCAAAGCATCTGCATGCTTTGCTGGAACTATTTCAACCCATTTAGAAAAAGCATCAATCATCACTAGACAATATTTATATGGCCCACTTTGTGAAAGTTCAATAAAATCCATATGCATGGTTTGAAACGGATAAGATGGTTTTGGGAACCTGCCTCGTTTTGGCCTTATGTTTCCCTGAGAATTGTATTTCACACAGACTGGACATGCAGTACAAAAATTTTTTAAGTAAGAATTTAAACCATATGTTGTGAAATATTGTTGTATTATGGTTACCATCCCCCCTGTTGACACATGACAGCGCCCATGTGTCACAATTGCTGCTGCTTTAAATAAAGATTTAGGAAGGACTGGTTTGTTATTTACTTCAAAAATGTTCTCATCATTAATTTGCGCACCCTTAGTTATCCACATCCTTTTTTCAACCTGCGGTGCGTTGTCCTGCATGTCTTTTAGCACTGCTTTGTCTATCAGTTGTTGTTCTCCTCCAGTCTGTGCTGAAAAAGTTCCATTCCCATGCTTCCCTGCTGCAGCTTCTTTTGCAATTTTATCAGCTAGTCTGTTCCCATTTGAAACTTCATCTTGTCCTTTTGTATGAGCTGCGCATTTACATACAGCTAGTTTAGTTGGGAGTTGTATTGCTTGTAAGAGATCTTTAAGCAAAGATGCATGTGTTACTGGTTTCCCAGTAGATGTTGTCATTCCTCTACGCTCCCATTGTTTAGCAAAATAAAACAACGTAGAGAAAACATACTGGCTATCTGTGTACACTGTCAGATGCTTGTCCTCAGCCAGTTCGCATGCCCTTGTCAAAGCAATCAATTCTGCCGCTTGTGCAGAATGAGTGCTGGAAATTCTTTCTGCTTCTATTATTTCATTTGGCAAAGCAACAACAGAATAACCTGTCTGGTTTTTACCCATAGGGTCCTTGGAACATGACCCATCAACAAACCAGACTTCTCCCATTTCTAATGGGGTGTCCTGTAGATCTGGCCTAGGAAGCTGTAAGTGCTCTGTAGCTTCTAGGCAGCTGTGTGGTGTTCCATCACATGGTAATGGAAGCAAAGTAGCTGGATTCAGAATTGTACACCGTTTTATTACAATATGTGGTTGTGACAAAAGTATTGCCGTGTACGAAAGGTGTCGTGCTGGTGAGAGCAAATTCATTTTGCTCTGCAAAAGTAGAACATCTACAGCGTGTGGAACTAACAGCTCCATTTTGTGAAACAAAACTATGTCAGCCGACATGTTTACTGCTAACGCTGCTGCACAGACTGCCTGCACACAGTCTGGTAAAGACTGTGCTACTGGATCTAACCTTTTTGAGTAGAAAGCTAACGGTTTTAGCTTATCACCATGACTTTGTAGTAACACAGAGGTCATAAATCCGTTCCTGCAGTCTACTGTTTGAACAAAGGTTTTTTTATAGTTTGGAAGAATCAAAGTTGTTGCCTGCATTAGTGCTTGTTTTAATTCAATAAAACTTTTTTCAGCTTCTGGATTCCAAATTATTTTGTCAGTCATGGCCATTGGGGTGCCATGAATCAAATCCTGTAAAGCCTGAGTTTTTTCAGCATAGTGTGGAATCCAGGCTCTGCAGTAATTGCAAAGTCCGAGAAAAGACATCATTTGCTTCTTAGTTTCTGGTTTAGGTGCTTCAGAAATTGTCTCTTTTCTTGCTTTTTGTATCTGCTTTCCCTCAGCAGAAAGTGTATGTCCCAAATAATTTACTTCTTTTCTGACCCACTGTAGCTTATCTTTGTTTACTTTGTTCCCTGTCTGACTGAGGTGGTGCAGCAGAGCGAGTGAGTCTGCTCTGCATGCTTCCTCACTTTCAGATGCTATCAACAGGTCATCAACATAAATCAAAAGTTGACTTTTTTCTGATATTTGAAAATCAGACAAACAAGCCATAATTGCCTCGCAAAATATGCTTGGACTTTCCGCAAAACCCTGGGGTAATCTGGTATATGTATACCCCTGACCTCTGTAGGTAAATGCGAACCAGAACTGCGAATCTGGGTGAATGGGTACAGAGAAGAAAGCATTGCTGAGGTCAATTACTGTGAAGAATTTATTGCTTGGTTTTAGTGAGTTTAACAGCGTGTGTGGGTCTGGCACATTTGGTGCTCTCGTTTGAACTGCTTCATTGACTGATCGTAAATCCTGAATCATGCGCCAGTCTTTTTTGTTTGCCTTTTGAACAGGAAAAATAGGTGTGTTACAAGGAGAATCTGAACATTTTTTGATGATTCCTCCTTTTAACAAACCCTTGATTACTGGTTCAATCCCGTCCAGTGCTTCTGGTTTTAAAGGATACTGTTTTACCCTGGGCCTCCAGCTAGATTTTGCTTTAATTTGCACTGGGGGAATTGAACCAAGTAACCCAACATCAGAGGGACCTTTTGTCCACAAGTATTCTGGCAGCTCAGCTAATTCAGCTTCCTCTTTTTCTGTAAGAAATATGTTCATGTATCACTCAAATGCATGAACTTGAGCTGTGCCTGTAACTACTTCGCAAAGTGATTGCTTCCAGACATCACAGCTGGGGCTGTAGCTCCAACCATCTTCATCTACTTTGAAATCAGTGGCTTCAGAAGCCATTTTAATTCTGTTACCTACATCTGCCCATGTAATATTATGCGGCTTAAAAAGCGAGATGTGTGGGTTTGCAGGTAACTTATACAGCTCTTTTTGACTAGTCGGAAGGAGCACAGTCACAGCTGCATAAGACCTTCGGTCTGTGAACATTTCAGTCACAGCAAGTGTCACAGGATTTGTTTCTAAAAACTTTTGCACATAATCATCCTGTGGATCATTTAGGATGTTCATTGTTACATGCAACTGATTATAGTTCATTTCTGTTTCAGGTATGTCCAGTTGTCCTCGAGCCTCCCTAAGAAGCTTTTCTGGGACAAAAGGATTGTCAGCTGGCTTTAGATCATAAGAACAATAGATTTTTTCATCCTTATGAACTGTGTACAGATCAGAGTGTTTTAGTCTGACAGCCCTCATGCCATCTTGTACAGGGACTACTGCTATCCCTAGTTTTGTCATTAGGTCTCTACCTAACAGATTTATTGGACACTTAAGTGACATTACAACGGAAGCTTTTGCTTTAATTCCTGTTTCAGGATCTTTAAAAGATGTATTTTTTGACATATTTTCTCTATGTGTTTGTCCATCGGCAGACTTCACCCAAATGGACTCGTTTGTGGGGTTTACACCTTCTATTTTAGTTTTTAGAACTGTTTTGCATGCACCGGTGTCACATAAAAATTCAACTTTTTCCCCACAAACAATCAGTGTAATGTAGGGTTTTTCTTTTAATGCATTTAACATATCCCATGCTGCACATATATCCACCATTTCATCAGTTTGATCTGGTGGTATGTTTTGTTTGGGTGTGGCAGAGTCTAGTCATGCTGAAGAGTTAGACTTTTGTTTTTTCTCCCATCTGCCACTTCTATAGTCCTTTATGTTCTTTGCTTTGCAATCTTTTGCCCAATGGTTCGACCCACCACAACGCCAGCAGACATCTTTGTCTTGTGGTTTATAACTTAGGGGTCGCTGCCCAGGGCGACCTCCTCTGTCTCTGTTTCTCCCCCGGCCTCTTGAGGAGCCGCGGAAAAAGACAGAGGTATCTACTTCTCCAAAATCCTCCAGATGAAAAACATCAGATCCTGTTTTTGGTTTTTTTACTACTTTTTCTGCATGACGTGCCCACGTCATCAGCTGTGGGACTGAGGCAGCATCATATTCAACCAGGTGTTTTTTGATCCAGCCCTCAATTTCAGGGCGGAAACTAGACATTAAAGCGTTTTTTAGTTGTTATTGATATACGCTTTCTAGTTCTTCATCATAAGTGATCCCACTGTGAACTTTGAACTCCTTCTCAAATCATAGACGAAAGTCGTCTACGTCTTCTCCAACTTTTTGTTTAATCCCTGACAGATGACTATAACTTGCCCTTTTACGGAAATTTGTTCTAACTCTCTCACACAACGGATCCCATTGTGCTTTAAAATCATCAGAGAGAGCAGGGTTGGCTCCTGGAGGGTATGGAATTGGAGCTAAAATATTATTAGTTATTTTCCCTGTATAATTTCCTCTTACTTCTACCCAATCTTTTCCTAATGAGGGTATGGCTGCTTCTCCTGCTTCTACCCCATTTAGTCTATATGACTGGATTAATCCAGTCATATCTTCTATCCATTTATCGGGGTCTTCTGTTACAGGTGTTATTCCTTCTACAGCCTTTCTGGCCTCTTTTAAGG